TTGGATGGCAAGTGGAGCAGCCAGGATGCAAACCTGCATCCATATTGGATGCTGCCACCACAGAATCTTAGCCTTCCCTGCCACATCACCAACTCCTTATTATCTGTTCTTTTTAGGAGTCTTTGTGGGAGATAGCAATTCAAAGGAAACAGAACTTCCACACGGGTTTTTTGTACCTGTGTAAAACTGGAACATGGGCGTCATGGAAACCATTGCTTTGGTGCATCTTGTGGCTTTTGTGGGTAGGCAGTAGTGGGATGAGATTGATGGATGCCATCTCTGCCTGCCAGAGTTCCGTGTCTCCAAGGGTTGGGTGCGTCCTTCTCTGCTCATGAGTTTAGATCCAGGTTCTCAGGAGGGTGTTACTGCCTCGGGGGTGTTTTGTTGCATTCTGGGCATTTGTTTTATTTTTCGATTTCTGGAACCCTGAGTGCTCGTTGTCTTGGAAAGGGGGAGGCTGTCTTCCACAGCAAAAGATTTTCCCACACTTGCCCTGGGAGTAGGCCATTAAACTTTCCCACGAGGAACGGGCCTGTTTATCGATGTCTGATGCTATTTTATGCATAACTTGTTGTGTTTTTTTTCCCCTAGTTTTGTTTAGACAAACCAGTTTCACAGAAATGTAGCAGCTGTCTACTAAATACCATTTTGATTCAGAAGCTTAATGAGAGTTACTCATTTAGGAAAGCCACATTAACAGTGCTAAGAGTATAAATGCCATTAGGGTGTAAGTTATCTTTTGTGAATGAACATAACCGAGTGTAGATGCATTGGACCATCCCATGTTTAGTGAATAAAGGGGAACTTCTCAAATACTTAGTATTTGCAAACTGCATTATTTAACATTTTGTGATAGATGTTCCTTTATGTTTCACATATTGATAGACTTCTCCCAATTTGCGTTCTTTTTTTAATTTTATTTTTTAAATAATCTTAGTTGATTAGGGTACCAAGGGACAAGGGCTACAGGAAAGTGGGTAAGACCATTGTTTCCACACTAATATCATCATTTTTTCCCTGTATCTGGGATCAGGAGAGAAACAAAGGGAGAAGCCCCATCCAGCCTCCCTCCCATCCCAGGTCCCCGATGTGAGGCACGCTCCGAGGGTCCTGCTCAAGCAGTTCTGATAGTTCAACAGTTCTGAATTGCTGCCAACCTCGCAGTTCCAATCGGGATGAAATCTATTCAGAATCCACTGGTTGACATAGTCTCTTCGTGGTTGGGGTTCTAAGATCAGCAGTTCAGTTGGAGGGATCTCCAAAGAAACTTTGCCTGAGATGATCCCAGACCTGATTCCTGTGTGTGCTTGCCAGTACAGGGTCCGGCACTGTCCCATCGCCCCAATCAGCTTATGCATATTCCTGACATATATGTATTTAGATTATTATGACATCAGTCTCAGAAACATGATTCGAATATTGTCTACAACATTGTTAACTGAGTGATAGCACAAAATATAAACTTCATCTCCAGCTGTCCAGTTTACAAATTACCATGTAAATGAGGGGCCAGTCATCTCACTTCTTACAGAACCAGTCAGCTGCTGTTCTACACACATTCATGATTCAGTTCCTGCAAAATATCATGTCCCAGGGATAAATCCATCACATTTGATGAAAAGAGATCCCTGGAAGAGAATCAGCAAAGACGAGGAATGAAGAGTGACTTTTACATCTAACGTTAATGGGGATACAGAAGGACGGGGTCGGTGTAGGAGTGCCGGGCCTCCAGGCGTGCTGCCGTATGAACCCGTTGCTCTCACAGATGTTGTGATGAGACTGTGTGCCAGAAACAAAGCGTTGCTGACAAGAGACTTCACGTGACATGAGCACTTGAGATGAGCATCAAGGATAGAGTGCTCCAGGTTGACCACTTGGGAAGGCATAGAAGTGGTGCTCGCTCCGTATTGTAAGTTACAGACTGAGGGAAGCAAGTGTTCTACAAAGACACGTGTAACAGCCGCACGTGGCTGATTGATTATTGATCATTGCGAAATAGCTTTCGGTATTACTGCAGTGACTATGGTTTATGGGCATGGCAGCGGTCTTATGCATGTGATGCCGTTCATTAAAAACTGCTTAAAAGCTATGGGAGGCGGAATTGCATGCTTCCTGCCCGGTTCCAGAGTCCCACTTCTGCATGCTATGTTTCAGTCTGTATAGGCGCACATTCAAATGTGTGCACAATGCTGTTGGCAACTCTGGTATGTGATGTTTATACCCAGAGCTAGGCATGGGGGCTCCAGCATCATCCAGTAACCAGGATGGAGCTAATCCGACCGTGAGCCTCACCTCCCACAGCTCTGACGAAGATAACTCGGTGTTGATCGTAATTCTGTTGTGATTCAACAAGGAATCCATCAGTTCACTCTTTAAGGTGTGCTTAGAAAACTATGGAATTTCCACCTAGTTCTCTAGCTTCAGTTGTTACCTGAGGAAATGTGTGTGATCTAAAAGCCAGCCGTATTTTAGTATTTTAGATGAGTTGTTTTTGTTGTGGTTTATAAATCTGAGTGTATTCGGAATGGCCATTGCCACTTCAGTTTCATAATGGATCACTGGGGGATTTGACCACAGAGAATCTAACTCCTTACTCTGATTTGTAATCATAATTGTTTACTTTTGAAACACCCGCGAGTCACACATCATTTTTACTTTCTCTGTACTAATTAGGAAGGAGGAATCAATGTCAGTTGTACATTTCCTTGAGATCTAGGTGTTGCTTGTAGATTTTTTTATATTTTACATCCGTGTGATGACTTCTGTAGCAGTTAATGGTTCTTTTGGGCCATTTTCATCCTGATTGCCCTGAGTGGCTCCAGCAAGTGTACGTTAAATGCCTTAGGTGTCTGGAGAATGTGTGGCCCAGGGCAGGGCACTGCTGTGGCCTGATCACTCTGTAATTTGTTTTCTTTACCTGTCTTATAAATTTTACCACTAGGTGGAGGTACAGGACCAGACAGTATCAAAGTCTACCATTGCTTGTATCATGCTGAAAAATGAAAGTGATCTTAGGAAATAGTCCACAGTTATTTTATATATCATGGGGAGTAAATTCTTTCCATGGTTGGTGCTTATTGATTTTTACTTAGTCTTCTTGTTTGTGTGTGTGTGTGTGTGTGCGTGTGTGTGTGTGTTTCTGGAAGAATGTTTACGTGAAGGTTCCCGTGCTTTAGTTTGCTCTTGTTTCTCCTTTTCTCCTCCTAGTGTGTCACTTTCTGCATCACAGTCACGTTTCTTTGTGCTTGAGCTGTATGCATGTGAAAACAGATCCAATATCTGCCTTCCGTATTTCAACTTGTGAGTTTTCCTAGGATCTGTTTCTTCTGAACTTGGGCAGAGAAATAAAACAGTGGCATGCTATTTGCAGATGGAAATCAAGTATTTATAAAGCAGTTGAAAGGTTTTTGAGAAGGTGCTATTCTGTGAATGTGAGTTTTACGAAGTTTTTTGTGTTTTGGGGACGATTCTCTGCATGTGCTTCTCTTCTGAATACAAGGGAGGATCCACCTGCCGTTTCTTACCACGGAGGGTCCTGAGGTACTGACTGTCAACCAGAAGCCCTAAGTAAGGCATTTTACATTGCAGGTTATTTCCAAAATGTCAGATGATTTGAAAAAATAGTCATCTAGCATTCTTGTGTAGTAGTAATGGAGTCTTTAGTTTATTATTCCTGTTGATGCTCTTTCAATGATTAAATGATTTTCTGTCCATGAGAAGCAATTTTTGTGTCGAAAATAATATTCTCTGTTTCTGTAAGGCAGTGCTTTAAAATGTTTTAACAATCAAATAGTGAGTGTTTTTTGGAAAATAAAACCACCATCATAAAAAATGTGCTAAAAAACCTGTGGAAATCCAGTTTTAGAATGAAGGTCTCACCTCCATGGTTAAATGAGATATGGTGTAGAGAAGTATTGGGCAATAAGGGAGGGCTGAGTGGAGCCAGTACAGCTATTAAAGAATACAGTTTCTTAGTCTTTGCATCTAAAGCAACCACGTGTTCAACAGTGTAAATAAACAATGACATGATGATACCATTTTGTGGTGGAAAAAAAAACAAATGTCCCCAGATGGGACGTTGCTCCTTTGATTGAATACGGCTGATACTGACCTGGGCGTTGCAGGGAAAGCTGGCGCAGGAAGTGGTCCTTCTCAGACCACTTCTCAGTGGGCCAGGGATGGGGTTGGTGTCACTACACATGTGACCAAGGGAGGTGCGTATCAGTCCATGGGCCCTGTGTTCTGCGGGGCACTTCACAGTGGCCGGGGACATGGAGGACAGCGGCCAAGCACTGACGCATCTGTCCCTTCTCTTCCCCCTCCTGGGCGGGTCTGTAGAGTTTCAGCCAGGAACTCCGCTGTCAGCCCTGTGTGCTGCCTCTTATTTCTGTCACTTCTTGCTATGCCTTAATGTTTTTCTTATTTCCAAATCATGTCGTAGTAACATAGTGTTTTGATTCCATTTCAATGAGCACCGCTTTTCAAATCCCTCTAACTTCTTTTAAAATTTTTTTTTTCTTCCAAGGCACACATCTTTGTCCCCTGCCACGCCCTTTCCCACTTTCCCCACTGCCCATAACACACACACACACACACACATATACACAGGTGCACACACACACATACACACATACACACACACGCACACATGTTTCCATGCACCGAGTCCTTCCCCACATGCTCTAGCAGCTGCAGTTGGGCATGACGAAGCCAGGAGTCCAGAGTGCAGACTGGATTTCCCACCTGGGTGGCAGGGTCATCAGCAGCTCCCAGGGTTTCAGATTTGCAGGAATCCCACTTGGAAGGTCAATAGCCGGGACTCGAGCCTTGGCCTGTCTTACAGATGGGATATTCCAAATAGCAACCGAACTGCTACACCACACACCCTTTTTAAATTCGTGTTTTGATGAGTTCAAGTGAGAGTAGTGAAAAGACATTTTATTTACATTTTGTACATGTTGCTTTTGACAAACAAGGGAAGACCTATTGGGCGCTAAGCCCTATACATCAGTATAATCATAATATATTCGGACTTCGGATCTTCGGACACTTTGCAGTGATCTGATGCTTTCGCTGCGGGTTCTGATATTCGATTTCTTGAATAACCTTCTTGAAAATGACCTGCACATGAAAAAGTAAATTATTGGGTCCAGGCACACATTGCATGCAGATAAGAAAAGCGTCATTTCCTTGCAGTAGTACAGGATTTTGTGTGCAGATTCGTCTAACAGCCTGTCCAAGTGGCTGAAAGTGAAAGGGATTCTGCACAAGTGATACGGCAGAAAGCAGGTGAAGAACACAGCCACCACCACCCTGATGCTCTGGTTGTGCTTCCGCTTCCGGCTCGACTGACTGATGAACTGCCTGCTGGATTTGTGGATGTACCTGGATATGGCGATGTAGCATCCGATCAGAATCACGAGCACGGCCACGAACAAGCAGCTGTTGACGTAGACGACGGCCTCGTGCCACTTGACCCCGAGGGAACTCTTCAGCCTCATGCAGTCGTGAATGTTTTCCTTAGTGGGTCGGCCGTTGGTGAGGATGATGTTTGGAATTGACAGGACAGCCATGACCACCCAAACACAGACAGATAACACTTTGGTAAAGGTTACACTGTACATGCGAGAGTCCCCGAACGGTTTCACCACCTTCAGATAGCGGTCAATGCTGATAAGCCCGAGGAACACGATGGAAGTGTACATGTTGGCGTAAAACAGGACGGAGGTGTATCGGCACAGGATGGACTTGAAGTACCAGGGCCCCAGTCCCGTGTCATGGACTATTCGAAATGGAAATGTCAGGGTCATGATGAGGTCAGCCACCACTATGTTTTTCAGATAAAAGATGAAGCTGGTCTTGTTCCTAATGTGAAAGAAAATCCATACGGCTAGGCCATTGAGCAGGATGCTTGCCACAAATATGATGAGGTAAAGCACCGGCAAGACTATGGTGTCGAATTGGTTGTGAAGGGTGCCGTTCTTCCCCAGGCCGTCAGTCACGTTGCTGGGGCCGGGGCCGCCTTGGCCATGCAGCTCGTTATCTGGAGGAGAGGTGGGGAGACGTCATGTCAGTGCCTGCTTGTGGGACCCACGGTCAACCAGGCCCCTGATGGGTGATTTGGGTGAGTTTAAAGATGCTGCAGCAGTGAGAAGACTTAATCCGGGGCGTGATCAGGTTCTGGGTGGCCGGAAAGTTGGTACTTTCCCTTCCCATAACCCAAGTCCCCACTGAAATCCTTGAGTAAGCAGTCAGGTTTCTGACTCTGTGCGTTTTTTCCCCTTAGAATTTTAGTTGTAGATAAGTGTGAGATTTCGATTGATCACTGAATATTTATACAGCATCTTGTGTATTTTTCATTAAAATGTGTACAATTAAAAAGTAAACATAAGCATTTTTTCCTGTAGTTAATCATGATATAATGATTTCTCTCATTCTTAATCTTTGAATTAATCACCAAGGAGTACATCGTACCAGAAATGATGAGAGATTGTCTGTGGTGCGTTTTTCTTACTTTAAGGCTAGACTGCACTTTGCGGCATTTATTGTGTCAATCTTAAGTCCTTGGTTTTTTTTTTTTTTTTTAATGCTATGAAAGGCTTACTCCATATGATCAGTGAAACAATACAAGAGCATGTGATGCATATGGCAGCCGTGAGAGTGAGCTCTGCTGTCTGCTGTGTGGCCTGTGATGGCAGGATGCCCAGCTCTGTGCCCGGTATCCATCAGCACTTTGGCGGACTGTTACTAGTCCGTAAGCAAGGCCAGCAGGGACTCTCACACAGGCCTGCTGCTTACACACGAGGCCTCCCTCCTGCCTTAGCCTGAGGACTGCTCATCCTGTGTGGCTAAATCATTCTCATAACTGCCCCGGAGCCCGAGTCTTCCTCCTGTTTCTCTCTGCCGTCTCCGTGCTCCCATGAAACCATTTGCAGCAGCAAATCTCGTGACCATCCGGTCAGAGTTTGCTCATGTGTTGGAGCATCTGAACCAGCAGTTCACGAGTCTACAGTTTGGACATGAGGTCGAGGAGGTTGTTCATGTCTGGAGCCTTACTTCCTGCTGACGAATAAACAATTTTACTAGAGTTCAAACTTTGTTTTGAAGTGATTTGAAGTGAAGCGGTTCAGAGGTTACACTGAATTGACCACTCACTTCCCTTCATGGCGGGCAGTAGAGTATATTTTTTGCTTCCTTTGTGTAAAGGAACAGAAATGACAGTTCCGATGATGATGATCCAAAGGCTGCTGCTGTAATTGCTGTTCAGATTTTTAAGTGCAGGTTCTTCCTGCGTAACCATTTCTTATTTCTAATTCTCTCCCTTTTACTCCTGGCAGTAAGTGTTTTTTAAAAACTGGTTTTCCTGGCCTGGATGTTTCTTAAGCAGGCTAGTAATTTGTATCTGGACTAGCCTGTTAGGAAGCCTGCAGTATCAGTCTTCCTAAGTTCAGAATACCTGGTCCCACTGCCATCTGTATCACTGCCAGTTTCAGGTGTTGCCACGGACATTGGCATTCAGGGCTGTTTGGATTTCATGAAGGATTGTAGTTCTGGCTATTTTGGTACCCGGAGATTCAAATTAGCATCCATGCCACTTGGTATTTTTAAAGGCTGCTCTGTTTTAACTGCTAATTTACCCGTTTAAAGTATTAACAGTCACTTTGATCCAGTACAGGGTGGTAGGGTCTTGAGGGAAATAGAGAGAGGGAACAGGGTAAGTTTGAATAAGAATGAAAGGGCTGCTTGAGGGGCCCAGGCTGAAAAGATGCAACTTTGCCTTCTCCAGAAAGAAGGCTGTGCCTCCTACCAGCTGCTTGTCAGTTGCTTTTCAAAGCCACTGCAGGTGCCAACAGTTCATTAGCCACAGCATAATAAGGTATTGCCCAACTCGGGCCTGGTGTATCTGTCCTGTTGGTGCGGGCCTTCCGGATCTGCTGCGGAGGGGCAGAACCCATACTTCCTAACGTGTTAGGGATGGCACGGCTGTCTGATCTATCATTACAGTATTCCAAAGCCTAATTATGTGAAGTGAATAAGCACTCTTACTAAATGATTTACCTAGCAATTATGGTCGTTATTAAACATAGACTCGTCAGTCAGAATGTTGACGATGTCTGTCTCTAATTCGTCCTGCCTTTGTCTCTCTATGCACACACACATAGATGGGTGCGTGCTGTGTCTCAGAAGTTAAAGGATCAAGTACGTGCTGCTTTATTCCACGCTGGTTATGGAACTGCTGTGTGCTTTTGAGAGACTTTGGCGTTCAGCTGGTCGATTGTGCCACCTCACAGAATTTGCTTCCTTAGCTCATATATGTACAATTTTTAAAGTTTGATTTCAATGGCATAAGCCTGGGCCTGGTGATTAGTTCATTCACAAATTCCACATTTACAATGCAGCTTGAAGGCATCAGTGGTTAAAGCCGGGTAAGGCGGTATTGTGTGAAACAACTTGAAAGCAGAGGGCGAGAGATGGTTCCTTAAAGCAGCTCAAGCCACCTGTGTGTCGCTGTAGGAGAGGAGTGGTTGGCCTTGACAGTTTCGTATGATGGCTTATTCCAAGGAAATTTAAAAAGGTCATGGAAAATGGAATTAAAAGGTAAGGTTCAAAGCAAAAATGTTTAAAATCCCAGTCAGTTTTAGTAATATGAGTTCTCCAGATTGTTTTTAAGACCTCTCACATTTTAGAATTAATTCATGATCATATTCTTTGCGGCCAGCTACCATCATCATTTACTGTTTCCCTGAAAAATTTTTTGAATCTATGTGTGTGCTGAAAGGTGTTGCTGTGTATGATGTTTGTACTCAGGAACACTGAACATTGATAGGAAGTGGCCTCCTTTACCCAGGCAGTTGTATCATATTCTTCCCTGTCCATAGCAAGCTTGGCCAAGTTACAGAGCAATTGCAATGACAGTAGTTTGATGCTTTGATTAGAAAGAGCTAGAAGTGGTGTTTACAATACTGCTGTGATTTTCTCACATTCTGCTTGCTGCCCAGGGTGCATGCCCTGTGTTGTTTGGCACAAGCGTTGATGTGGAGTAACGTTCCGGGGTGAAAGCCCCTTTGTTATATACTCCGTGCTGTTTCCTCTCCTCTCGTCTCCTTTGAAGGAAACAAACACCGCGACATGAGAATTCTCTTTCTGCAAGTTAGCTATTTTGTGCTCAGCTCAGTGTGAAGGTGCTGTTACGTGTACGGGCTTGGGAAGTGGGCATTTGGTGCTGTGGGCCATATTTGCAGACGGCTGTGTGTGTTGGGGTGGTGCATGAGTGTGTAGAACAATGACATTTTGTAAGTGGCTTTTAAAGTATAGGTAACACTGAGGCACAGCTGCCGTTCGGTAATGGCATGTGGCTGTCCTGCTGACCGTGCAGGTGCAGTGAAATGTCTGTCCCTCAGGACAGTTCTGTCTGATGCTGCTGCTTCATCATTTCATAACTTCATAAAATGGAATAGATACCAGCCCCTCGGTTGGATTTTCTGAAAATTGAATGCTCTGCCAACAGTGTTTAAAAGTACAGTGTCTAGGAATTAGCAGGTATTCTTTCTGTCAGATCAAGTGCTAATTACTACCTGTGATTTCCAGAGTCAGGTTGGGAATGACAGAGCAGTGGGAAATCTGGCACTTTTGCCTTGGAGATGCTCGCTGATTGTTCACTGGGTGTGTCACTGTTTGGCACAAAATGTGAAGGTGTCAACATATGTCACTGCTCTACCTGCCGGGCGGGGATGAAACAACAAAGTCACACAAATTATAGGCTGTCACTAGCGTGGTGCGGTTGCCTTTGTGCGACCATTTGCTGAGTAGTTATGCAGTAGCATTGGTCGACGTTGTCTTTGGCTTCCTTGGGAACCTCAGAAAACCTTGGGCTTGACTAAGTCTGGAAAGTAGCATACAGTTCAGTTTGGATTTAAAATAGTGTTACTGATTTAATCCCACCCATCCATTTTGAGATGGTGTCTAGATGAAACAATAGCAAGTCAGATTTGCCTCAGTGATACTGTCTGCCATGTTTCATGTTTCATGAACGCTTAAATGCTGTGTAGGTTCTGTGATAATTCAAGCCCCTGATTGTCACACAGCCAACCTAACTGTCATTGACCAAGGAAGATTTTCTTTGCATCTTTTCCCGTGGCTTACTTGGTAGTTTTGCAAGTGTCAAGTTGAGGCCCATTCTTCAGGTGTGACGTACAATAACCAGAACTGGGTGTCAGGAAACGCTCGGGGAGGGCTGTGGCGCGGGCTCAGCATAGGGGATTCCTGGCTTAATTTCTGGGGAGAGAAAAAAAAAATCAGTGGGAAATAAAATGAAAGGAATATGATTCCATTAAAAGCAGCATTTGCCCCCAAGATCCAGGAGACACATCTTCAGTGGCTGTGAACCCCCACAGCACACGAGAATCCTGGACTTTCTGTTCTCCTGCGGACTGTGCTGTGTCCTGGGTTTCATACCTGGATGCCACCTTGGAAAAGTTACTCAGTGTCTCTGCGAGCTGGGCTGTTCATCTCTGATAGAGGAGTGATGACAACAACACTCGAGCTTTGTAAGGTGTATCAGAAACAATCCATCAGGAGCTTAATAGCGTCTGGCTCCAACTTTTGCAGAAATGTTAACTCATACGACATGCTGTTCTGTGTATACCTTACTCCTTTTCTTTGTTTCCGTATAAAATCCATATATAAGGGAGTTTATATGCAAGGGGAGATGGTTAACAATGTTGTAAAGGTCTACCCTCACACATGTATGTGTTTCAAAAACTCGGAAGCATGCAACATCCTATTCTCTGTAGCTGTAGCTGTGCAGTAACCAACTGTGTGGTCTTTGGCAAACCAAGTGTCCCTGGACTAAAGGCTCTGTATTATTCCTACTCAGACTCAAATTGACATAAGCTTAGACTTGGATATGTTCCAATCTGTGTACATAGATTCACACAGAAAATTTAATTCTGTTTCAGCATTTGTCCTAGACTTTTCCGTAATATTGACAGCCATGTTCCATCCAACCTGAAAATTTAACTAGGGGGGAAAAAACTGAGAATAATTAACCTCACTTTGTGTCCCTGACAGGTAATTTTGCAAATATTGTGAACTTTCTGACCTTAAAATTCTTGCCAGCATTTTATAAAGAGTAGGAGAGGTGATGCATGCATGTTTCATTTTATGCTGTAAAACATTGTTTCACCCCACCTCTTCTTCCATAGCGGGGATTGTTACCTGTGCTGTGGGCCAAGGAGAGAAGGACCCCTCCTGAAAGGCACTTTGGAAAGAGCTCAGCGAAAGTGAAATGTGTTTATGGAGCAGTTTGAGGGAAGTCACTCCGTTTCTCATGAAATGAAACCATGTGGGACTTTCCTACTCCTCTCACCATTAGTTGCTCAGAAGCCACACAGCCACCAAGGAAGCCCAAGTAACCTCATCCTTCCCAAGCAAAGAACAAAGCTGTGGCTGCTCTAAGTGGTTCCTTTGGTCTCTGCCTGTTTCCCGAGTCAGCACGGACAGGGCGCAATGGCTGTCGAAGTGCAGTTTGGAGTTTCACCGTGAGCCGAGAGGCACTTCTCATTTGCTTTTCTGTTTGTTAATATGATGTGCACTTAAGATGCTGGATTTATACAGGATCCCTTCCTCAGTACCCGAGGTCAACTCTTTTTGTGAGTTTAACCACTCTAACCAGGGGTTGGCTTTGATTGCTGCATAATGTGGTATATAAGAGCAGATCTGTAAGCCTAAATAAGACTCTTAACCTCTTACAAAAACTTTTCAAGGACACTAAGAAATACATCTTTAGTTTTATTTCCAGTTCCTGTTGTGTGGTTTTCTTCCTCCTGGATTCACTTGTACCTTATTGAATCATAGTAGCAGTGAGAGACAGAGGTGCCTGAGTCATTAAGGAAAATACAAAAACAAAACAAAACAAAACAAAAACAAAAACAAAAAAGACTAGAAGAAAACACTTGTATCCTGTATTTCTCATAAAGGATTTACATTTTGAGTAGACAAAGATCTCTCACACTTCCTATTAATTAGAAAACCAATAAAAAGATTGTAGAAAGATTTGTCTGGGCATTTTCCCAAAAGCATATGAAAAGATGCTCAACCTCTTTAACCAGTAGGGAAATTAAAATTAAAACCATGAGGTGATACCACTTTATATCTCCTGGAATGCCTATGAACTCCTAGAGTCAGGCAAAACAAGGGCTGTGAGGTTACGGAAAAAGAAGGATCCCCGTACGTTGCCAGTGAGAACTGCAAAGCGGAAGGCTGATCTGGAGACCTATTGTCAGTGTCCTAAAGGGTGAAAAGGGTGCTTATCATTCCAAGAGAAAGAACTACATATGCCCATGCAAAAACTTGGGTGTAAATGTTTATAGCAGCTTCCTTCATGAAAGTCAGAACCAGAATGACCCCAAGTACCAAGGGCTAAGTGTAGTCAGGGGTGCTGTCAGACAATAGAATACTACTCAGAAAGCAGAAGTATAAATTACAGCTGTCAGGTGTATGAGCCACAACAACATCTTCCATGACTCAGTGGCTGGACACAGCAGATTGCTGACCACTCAGACAAAATGTCCCCAAAAGGCAAGTCTTAGAGGTGAAAGTTGAATTATTGCTGCCTGGAGCTGTGGGCAGGATTGAGCTTAATTCTGAGATGTGGGGGATCTTACCAGGTTAATGAGAAGTAGATTGTAGGCTGCACAGTTCTCTAAAGTTATACACAGCCCTGAATTGTACAATTAAAATGGATGAAATTATGGTATGTCAAGTTACAGCTCAACGAAATTAAAAAGTCAAAAGTGAGTAAAAAAAAGTCATAAGAACAGGCTAACATTCTCAGTGTCTGATAACAGGTGGGTTCTTAAGTCCCAGAAAGAAGTGCCCAAAAAGCACGCTCCTTGTACATTCTTTCAGATGGCTATGGAAATGTGCAGGAAATTTGGCAAGGGCCCACATCTTAAAGTGGGCAAGTGACACTACTTTGTCACCTGTGACACATTTAGATGTCTCTTCATTGGGAATTGAGTCCATAATTCCGTTACTGGACATGACTGCTTAGTTTTACCTTTGAGGGTGCCCATATATGCTCATGGCTAATTACTGACAAGATTTAGGATGTTTGTGAATTCAGGTCTTGATGTTTAAATTTTCTAGGGTCAAATTTATCGTCTACATTTGGGCAATTCCTTTTAATCTCCTCTACTGCCTTCTGAGAGATTTCCTTTTCGCATTTCCTTCTCTGGTTTTCTCCTAGTGTCGTGCCCCTCCACACTGTCATCACAGCCCATTTCCTCTCTCTGAGACCATTCTGCTTTCTGCTCCCTTCCTCACCACAAACTTCCATTTCAGGATTTACCTTTGTGTTCTTAAACTTAATGTTTTGCATTGGTTTTTCCTTTCTTTAGAATAAACCAAGTTTCTCATGTCTGTCTTTATGAAGATTTGCTTGAAGAGAGTTACAACCTCAATAGTCAACCTGTTGCTTTTGCCTTTCTTGTTCCTTATCCGGTCACCTTCTTTGCCCTGCACCTGTTAAGCTAACTGTGCTTCTGTTGTTGTTTGGCACACCCTTGTCAGCCCCTGGTCTGAGGTCTTTCTGCTCTGGTGGTGGTATCCCTGCACAAACCTTCGCTCTGGTCATTCTGCTCCTTGCTTCATTCCTTTCAAAAGTCTCTCTCCTCATCTTTCTGAATTAGCCAGTTGGCGTTTTGCTTCCCAGCCCTGTGCATTGTAAGGCAATTTCTGTGCATGTTAAAGATCTTGGAGTGTGAAAGTCAAAATGTGTTGGCTGTTGGTAATTAAAGAGGGACATACTACAGTGTTATGTGCTCCCATTGGTCACTGATGCCTACTGTATAGCATCATTACGAGGTTAAATGGAATACACACTTATGAATGTTAGTTTTGCTTTCATTACTTCCATTGGTTCTTGATCAGGATCACTTTACTTTTGGGGACCTCTGTCTCACCAGACTGTCCACTCTCAGGTGTGCAAGTTACATTGAGCCCCCTGTTTTTCTTCAGAAACATTCCTGCTCCTTGAATGACATCCTACTCCACCCTCCCAAAACTCATACTCACATACACACACACTCGCACTTTGGAAATCCTGGCCTTTTCCACAATGCTCACCATTTTAGTACCTAGTGCCCTCTTAGTGTGGGAATGATATGGGGAGTACAGAGTTGAGCAAATGTGTTGGCAGCTGTAGTGCTTAGAGCACATGGAAACGCTGAGGCCCAAAGACATGGCAATGTAACTTACTGGGGAGAGGATGCTGGCACTGAGGGATGCAGAGGCACATGCAAGAACTGATGTCAGAATGACTTTGCTGGAAAGGAAAGAGCCGTGTTGAGATCCTGTGCTCCTTGCTCAGCTTCCTCCCCCTGGTATTTGACAAGCGGATATTGGTTTCCTTCAGTCATTTGTGGCCCCTGAGAGAGTGAAGAGATGATGGGATGGATGGAGTTTGAGTGCAGTAGAGAGGTCTCCTAGATGATTGAAGGGATGGGTTTGGAGCCTGAGGAAGTGCTTCTGGCTGGGCAAGAAAAGACATGTGATAGAAGCAGCTGTGGCAATGGAGGTGATGCCCTGGGAGTAAGTTGCCCAGTGCCAGCAGGCAGGCAAAAGGCTTCCCAAGGAGCCCATCTCAGGGAGACCAGAGCAGAGAAGCAAGGAGGGTTATGGAAAATAGTATCTCCTGAACAGAATGGGGAGTTTGAAAAATGAACCTCTGACTAGTTTTTTTAGGAAGTGACACAGGGACAGCAGAGTACCACTAGGATTAAGTAACAAAGAGATGATCATCTTTTTTAATGCTGGGTATGCTGTGTTGGGGTGGGGCAACAGTGTGGTGACACAGGGTGGAGTAAAGATAAGGAAAGGAAAAAGGACTTAAGACAACTCTTTCATCAAGAATGTGCCTGTGGGGGTCTCGTGTGATGATTCAGTGGATACATCCTTGCCTTCCATGTTCTAGGATCACATATGGCTGCTAGTTTGTATCCCAGCTAATCTACTTCCCATCCAGCTCCCTGATTGTGGCCTGGGAAAGTAGCAGAGAATAGCCCAAAGCCTTGGGAACCCGTACCAGCATGGGAGACCGGGCAGAAGCTCCTGGCTTCTGGCTTTAAATTGGCTTAGTTCAAGTCATTGCGGACATCTGAGGAGTGAATCAGTGGG